GCCCGGGTTTTTCTCTCGGGCTGGTGGGCACCGGCGGGGGGGGGGGCCCGGGCTCTGCCAGTTCCCATCGCTCCGGTGTTCCTCGGCTCTGGAATAGTCAATGAAATTAATTTGTTGTCACACACAATAATCCAGAATTGCACTCAGTGTCAGCAAGTGTTTTGTCTCTTGGCATCGGCTCAACCATTAATTCTCTTGTGGCGGCGGAGGCGGCGGGCTGTGTTGTGGTGGCGATGGGGTTAATTGGCTTGCACATGCCGCTGGGCTATGCAGACCCTGCGACCCTTGCCACCGCTTACACCCTAAACAAATATGGATCTTCAGTTCTCAGGGCTCTCTGCCAACTGTCTCAACCCGTTCGCTGAGTGCCAGAGGGCCAGAGGATGAGTGCTGGAGCTGAATTAACCCTTTCCTGTCAGACTAGGCACCTTCCCGAGGAGGAGGAGGAGGACTTCCCATCAGGTCTCCCTTTTATACCTTTTTTTTGACTCCTGTTTCTGCACAAATTATCCTTTCACTCGGGATGAAATTGAAGCCGATTGGCCCCGGATTGAAAGGACGGATTGTTCTTTAACAAACTCCTTTGTAGGATTAACGGCACAAGGGAATTCTCCATGAAATGCGCAGCCAGGGGACACAGCGATGGCTTGAACCGTCGATAGATTGTCAGTTCTTCCGTCTAATAACATGAGGACAGGGCGTTTTTTGTGCAAGCCATGGACGTGATTTGTCAGTGAGGCCTTAGACATAGGGTAGCGGTCTGCAGGAACATCCATTTCAGGTCAATCATTTAAAACAAAAACAAAAAAATCTCCTCAATTTCCCCCCAACAGATAAAAATCGGCGCGCTGGATTTTGCTCTTGCGCCCATTTTGCGACCTTTCAGCCATTTAATTAATTTCAAGCCTGATGAAGGGGACCCTGTGTGGCCCCCGAAACGTTGCTATTCGTTTTGGCATGAAGCGTCAATAAACAGACGTGTTGTTCGCTGCAATATGGAGCGCTGGTGATATCTTTAACAAGTTTCGGTAATGGCGGCGGCTATCCGCGGTCACTTCGACGCGCCCACGCTGACAGGGATACCCAGTAGGGAGTGCAGCAGGATTCTGGAATAATACTTTCAACGATTGCTGTACCGTTGGGTCAATATTATCCGCTCCCGTTACATTGTATAGTGCAAATGTGTAACTTTCTCTGCAGAGTGTAGGCTGGGTTCACACCTGGGCGTTCCAAATAGGCGCATTTTATGCACGTTTTTGCCCTTGCGTTTGAAGCACGTTTTTCTGTGCAATGAAACGCGCGTTCGACGCTCGTTTTTTAACCTCCCTGGCGGTATGATTTTTCCCCCCCCTGTTTTTCTCTATCTGTTTTTCGTGGTTTTTTTTTTACTTTTAAACTTCCTGCCGGTTCTGGCCCCCTGCGACGCAGACGCTCGCAAGGGACGGAACCGGCAGCGGCCGGAGGACACAACGGCGATTGCGGACAAGGTAAGACCCACGCTGTATTCCCGAGTGTGGCTCGGGGGGGTTACCGCTTTGGTACAGAAAATTAACCCCGAGCCGCACTCGGGAATACCAATGTATAAGCGCTGAAATCTGCGCCCTACGCGGGAAAAAGAAGCTCAAGTACTTTTTCGCGCGTAGGGCGTTTTTCAGCGCGGCAAATGGCGCTGAAGAACGCCCAGGTGGAACCATGCCCATAGGGAATGTGAACCCAGCCTTATGGAGCGTCGCCGTCTGCGTGTTGGTTGCCTAACCGATAGCAGCCAATCAAAACGTATCTCCTAAAAGATACGACTGCGGTGCACTCATTCTTTGGGTCACTTTGCACTTGTTCTTGGTGCTAAATAAATTGTTATACGGGATTTATACGGCGCCAACAGTTTGCACAGCGCTGTACAATATAAGGAAGACATTACAATAGCAATACAATTCAAGACAAGATGGTGAGGAGGGCCCTGACCCCGAGGGCTTACAATCTAAATATTTTTTTCCTGTGTAGGGAGAATGTTTAGAGTAAAATCTGCGCACACTTGTCACATGATTGTGCTCAGCAGCTTGCGTTGGCCGTCGCTGGAGCGATTTTTTTTCAGTCTCCGGTAGCTCATAGACGTGCAGATGGCGCTGGGGATGTAGAATCGGTTGTAGGATCCTCTGTATGATGATGATGATGATTGTTGTTGTACAATGATGCAGAATCTTCTGCAGTGCTGAACAAAGGTGGAAAACTGCGCTGCACCGATTTCATTCCTAACCAATACACACGCATGACAAAGGGACTGGGATGAGTCCTCGAAGCAGCGCCCGGTCCCCAGCGTCTGGTAGACCTTCGAATGTTGTTTGTGGTTCATGTCGGGTCTGCTGCCAAATCAAATGCTGGAGCTCTGCTATAGAACGGGTCATGCTCTCTGATAAAGACGGTGCAGGAATTTGCAGCCCTTGGGCC